CCCCGCCGTTTCGCTGTTCGCGCGTCCTGGGGCCGGGGGTCTGGCCACGCTGCCCGGGCTGGTCCCGAGACGCCACCCCCCCGCTTCCCGGAGGGCTGGGATCGCAGGCCTGAGCCGTGCCTAGCGCGACTGACTCTGAATTCGGTCAGAGAACGGCAGGGGACTGAAAAGGCGTGACGGAAACAAAAACAGACTCTTCGCTCGCAAGATCCGTTCCCGAGAACCAGGGTCCGAGCCATGAGCGCGACTCGCAGCCTGCAGACAAGGTCGGCTTCTCGTACCCCAGCCCAGTGACGGGCTTTTAGAAACCTGGGCGGGTGGCTCCCTTCTGCCTCTCCTCTGGCGGGCGGAGGACTGTCGGCGGATCAGTGGGAGCTGCCCGTGAGGCTCGTCACAGGAGAAAATCCCTGCGGACTCACAGCTGCCACCACGCGCCCACAGCCTCATCCTGCCACCTGCAACGCCTACGAGCAGTTCTGAAGAAATGAAGGAAGAAACAATACTCGCTGGGGTGTGGCAGCTCACGCCTGTAATCCCAGCATTTTGGGAAGCAGAGGCAAGAGGATGGCTTGAGCACTAGGGTTCGAGACCAGCCTGGGCAACACAGCAAGACCTCGTCTCCACACAAAAAATTAAAAAACAAAAAAATCAGCCGGGTGTGGTGGCATGCGCCTATAGTCCCAGCTACTCAGGAGGCTGAGATGGGAGGACCACTTGAGCCCAGGAGGTAGAGGCTGCAGTGAGCCGGGATGGCATCCACTGCACTCCAGCCTGGGCCAGAGTGACACTCTGACTCAAAAACAAGAAACAATACTGTACCACACCACCTCTCCTCTGGTCCCCAGATCCTAACACTCGGGCATTAGGCACTCACCAGCTTCTCACTCTGTTCAACCATGACTCTCTGTCCTTGGCTGTTCTTACACCAAATAGGCACGTGATCGATGGTCAGCTCTTCATCAGCTGAGGCAAAGAAGTTTTCTAGCGTCTTGCAGACTAGCTTGGCCCTTATGAATCCGCCTTTCCCTTCAGCAAGGACAGAATTGACCATGAAGGGCGTCAACTTGAAGAGATTCAGCTTCTTCTTCGACTGGTACCTGCAAGGCACACCCCAGGTGAGAAGCATGGGCCTCCTTCCCCAGAAGCGGCCAGCGACTGGGCACTCGACAATAATGACCCAGACTACCAGCATGGGGTTCCTGGCCCTGTGGTGTCTGCTGTCTCCCCACTCTCTCCAGAGAAATGATAACACCCCTCTCAGCCAGCAGCGTTATATGGAAACGATGCATCGTCATGGAAGTGCAGGTCCCTGAACCTGTCTACAGCTACTGCCTGCAAGTGGAGACAGCAGCGGGACGTCCTCTCGGCGTCACTGAGTGTGAGTTCGTGCGACCATATACATGATCGCCCTGGGAGGAACCACGAGCAGCCGGGCACACACTCACTTCCGCCCGACGTGCCCGTAGGCCATGGAGTGGAAGGTCTTGCAGGTGACGTTGCTGGGGAAGACGCGCTCCGCCTGCTTCGCGATGCTCTTGTTGAACGTCACGTACAGAAACCTGCTCTGAGACCACTTCTCCGCGTACTTCACCAGGGTCGAGGTCTTCCCGGTGCCTGGGGAAGCCGAGAGGAAAGGCTGTGACTGCTGGCCAGGAGAGTGCACCCATGCATGCCCTGACCTCGGCACTCCTGGGCTCATCCACTCTGGCTTGAGAGCAAGACAGTGACGAGTTTTGCCTTTTTTTGAGTCAGGGTCTCACTCTGTGGCACAGGCTGGAGTGCAGTGATGTGATCATGGCTTACTGCAGCCTCGATCTCCTGGGCTTATCCTCCTGCCTCAGGTTCCCAAGTAGCTGGGTCTACAGGCACACGTCATCACGCCTGGTGAGTTTTTAAAAATTTTTTGTAGAGATAAGGTCTTGCTGTGTTGCCCAGTTTGGTCTCAAACTCCTGGGCTCAAGCAGTCCTCTCCCCTCAGCCTCCCAGAGGGCTGGGATTACAGGTGGGAGCTACTGTGCTTGGCCAGTGACAAGTTTTTCAACACTGATCAATGTTGTGCCGTGAAAAGAACAGATTCGAACCCAGACGAAGGTAGGCTGGGATCTCAGCTCTGGAAGGTTCTCGCTGAGTGACAAAGGGCAAATCCCTGACCTCCCTGAGCTTCAGCTGGCTCCTCCACAGCACGCGAGTAACTCTCCCCTGCTGGGTCTGAGGGACAAGGATGACACTGAGGTCCCCACAGCAGAAGCCTGCGACCGGCAGCCACCGCTAGCCTGGTCACGTGTGTCCAAGGCCAGAGCTGCTGGGTCGAAGGGCCTTCTCGCCCAGTCCCAGGTCTCACTGCCCTGTCTCTCCACCAGTCATTCAGTGACTCAACCTGCCATTCGCAGAGCGGCCATTTATTGAACACCGACTACGTGCTCTGCTGTATGCTGATAAGCACTGTGAGTCTGCTTTAAAGCATCCATTTCCACCTGGTAGGGAATGAAAGACCAACACGGTGGAACATCAGAGAACAAGACTGGAAAGCCAGTGGTAACAGCGTAGTGAGAAAGAATACGCACTGCAAACAGAAATTCTCACCTGACAGGGCTGTTTTGAAGGTTCACGAAATAACGTGGAAGTACTTATGAGATGCGCATGTTGGCCATTCTTACTACATAACAGCTTTTACCGCATGTTAATAAATGATGGCTTACAGTAAGAAAGGAGAGTGCCTACGGGACTGGACGCGAGTGGCTGAAGAAGCCCTCAGGAGGAAGAACCAAATGACAGGAGTCAGGGAAGGGAAGAGGAAGAGGGGGAGGGGGAGGGGAGAGGGGGAGAGAGCGGTGGGGGTGGGAAACACAGAGGGAGGGAGAGGAAGAAAGAAAAAGGGAGGAGGAGGGCGGGAGAGAGCACCTGGAGACCCAGTCCCAGCCGGGCTTTCCACCCCACCACGTGCACACATATGCGCTCCTCCCGGAGCAAAATGTGACTGGCTAGCCCGTGCTGCCGCTAGCCGGCCTCTCAGAATGCGGCAGGGCACCCTGCAGGCTCTTCACAGACTTTCTCGCCAGCAGGATGTTTAGCCAGAAAAGAATCGAGAAGGGACTCCGGGAGGAAAAGGGCAGGAGCAAAGGCCGGGACAAGAGAAGACCCAAGTCAGACCGGGAGCAGGCAGGCTTGGGGACAGGTAGGCGGATGGCGGACAGAAGGGTCAGGACGTGGACTAGGACCGGCAGAGGGTGTGTCCTCGGGTCACCACCTACACAGTGAGGGTGCCACCAAGATCCTCTGAGCTGGAGGCTCATGTAGCCTCCCTAACGGAGGCAGAGAGTGACGCACACACGGTGATGTGGCCTCAATCCCCGGGCTGTCCCTCAAATGAATTCCTAGCAACTGTCTACACGGGGACTCCAGCGTGGCCACGCCCTGGTGCGAAGAGAAAGCAAACCCTCCTTGGAGTTGCCTCGGAGACAGTCTGACTGGCTGGGGGTGGATCCTGCTGGCAGACCCAGGTGGAGGCCCCCGCAGAGAGTGGCAGGGATGCCTGAGCCCACTGCGTATTCCCTCACCTGCGAACGCCATGATTTTTACCACCTGGAGTGGCTCCATCTTGTGGTTCAGAATCAGCTGCTGCTCGTGTGTCAGTTGGATGGTCTTCTTGCTAGAATCATCATAAGAGGGAAGTCAGAAAAACAGGAACGGCAAAGCCCAGAGGGTGAACTGTCCAAGAACTACAGACAAAATGGATAAACAAAAGCTGACGCAGAAGGCCTCCCCTCGATCCTTTTGGGGAATAGAAACGTTCTACAGCTAGATACAATGCCGGCCGCACAGTTTTAACTCAGTACATTTACTAAAAATCACAGAATGACACTCTTCAAATGGGTGAATTTTATGAACTGCACATCATGCCTCAATATAGCCGCTAACACAGCACAAAACACTCTCCCTTTAAGTATGAGAAAGAGTCAGGAGGGAAGACAAAACCCACCCAAACTTCTGCTCATACATACCCGGACCAGACAGATGGCTCCTCTTGAACTCTGGGGGCCTGAGCACAGGAATTCTCCTGAAGATATAGGCAATAGAAAATGTTGTAGTGAATCCTAATAGGAAAAAAAGGAGATTTAGGGAACTCCAAACTCCAGCCACCAACTGCATCTTATTTTTCCTCAGATGTTTTTAAATTTATTTTCGTTCTTAAAATATCTACCACTATTTTAAGGGGGAAAGGAAAGAAAAGAATTTAAATATATCTACAGCTGTTAAAAGCACTCTGGGAAAACACAGCTCTGGGAAAGGTGTGTAGTTTCTAGTAGAACGCAGAGGAGGAAGAGACCAGGACATGCTCTTTAGGGAACAGGAGCGCTTGCTGTGACCTTAAGAGACGCACAACAGAAAAAGCAGTAAGTACCAGTGGAGCTCATGCCTGTAGGTCCAGACCTTGAGAGGCTGAGGTGGGAGGACTCTTGAGCCCAGGAGTTCGAGACCAGCCTGGGCAACAGAGCGAGACCTCATCTCTACAAAAAATTTAAAAATCAGCCAGGTATGATGGTGCACACCTGTAGTCCCAGCTACCCAGGAGGCTGAGGCGGAAGGATCACCTGGGCCTAGCAGGTCGAGGCTGTGGTGAGCCATGATTGGGCCAGTGTACTCCAGCCTGGATGACAGAGCCAGACCTCCGACAAAACAAAAAAAGTGAGCCATGGTGTCGTGTGTCCACAAAACACTCTTACCTGCATTTCCATGTTAAACCTCCCAGCCTCACCCTGCAGGGGAAGAGCCGAGGCTGGGCAGTGTGGGCTTCGGGCTCGCCTGACGCTCACGCCGGTGCGTGGCAGGGCTATGCCTGCAGCCCCGTCTAGGCCGCACTCCCGTGTCCCCGGCCCCTCCAGGCGTACCTGTTGCTGATGTTAATCCCCTTCTCCCTCATGGCGTAGAGAAGCACAGCAATGCAGTACAGGGTCTCGGTGATGTCCGGCACTGTCACCGTGGAGCTGGGTCTCCTGAGGCAGAAGAGCAGCCGCTGGATGTCGCCCACGCCGCCAGAGAGGAGCACCACGGCTGCCACCAGCGCCCACACGTTCACACCCTGCGAGCCAGGTACACGGGAGGACAGACACAGCCGCCATCAGTGCAGATCGCGTCAGGAAACAGCCGCGGGGCCGAACTGGGGGCCCAGAGCCACCGACAGACTGAACTGAGGCCAAGCCCCAGGGACACTCAGGCAATACGGAACCCTCCCCATAGCCCTGGAGGCTCTGCTTACCCCTCTGCACCACAGAGCTTAGCTTTCCTCAACCAACACTTGTCAAGTGTTTAACACAGACCTATGCGTGGAGAGGACATGCCAAGGATGCGCGCCCCCTCTCCCCTCTCCACCCTCCTCTCCAGGTCAGCAAGAGCTCCGGGGTCCACCAGAGCTAAGTCAGGTCAGAACGAGACCAGGAGTGCCCACGCAGCAGACATGAAGGCCAGAGAGACGAGAGGGCAGTGGGCTTCAGGGGACTCAAGATGGACAATCCCAAGCATTGTGAGGGGAATTTACTTATTATTGACAATTGTCAAATATCAAACATGAGACTGAAAGTTTATTTTGCGAAGACAGCATGCTCTGCTTAGTCATGTCTAAGGAAACGTTCACCAGCAAAGCAGCAGTCGGCACTGGACACAGAGCTCTGTTGTTCTTCCAGAACCGCGTGTCTCCCTGCAAAGAACGCAGTCCGGAAAAGGGGGCCCACAGTCCCCTCGCTACAACCACCCCGTGAGAGAAAACTCGCTCCACCGCCATCAGCAGCCTTTCACTAAGAGGCACAAATGCAGCTGCCAGGGCTGCAACCCTTTTGCCAGCAGAAGACGGAGGGGGCTCATGGCACTTCCAGGATAAAATCTGGGAGCCCTGGACTAGATGAGGAACACCAGAACTGAGACTCAGGGCCTGAGAGACGTTTGCAGCTTCTAATCTCCTCCCTGTGTGTCTGGAGCAAGACTCTCGGTTTCTGTGTCCCTCTCAAATAAGCAGCACTGCCAACAATGGAAAGGGCCGTCTTGTAAAGAAATCCTGTTCCCCCAAGCGGTCAGAGCCTAGACAGCCACCTTTCGGAGGGATGTCAGAAAGGATTCCTCAACAGAGTGGGAAACCGGACCGCATGGTTTTTTAAAATGTTTTTCTAAATCTAGAATCTATAATTATACAGCCTTTTATCTCTCCAGTAGAACCAATGACAAGATGACCGCTCTGAGGCATTGAGAGATTAAATAAAGCTTTTGAAAACCAATATAACGAGCCGGGCTCGGTGGCTCAGCCTGCCATCCCGCGCCTTTGCGAGGCCGAGGTGAGTGGATGGCCCGAGCCTGCGGGTTCGAGACCCGCCTGGGCAGGCGAGACCTCATCGCTACAATAAATCAAAAAATCAGCCGGGCCTGGTAGCGCGCGCCTGTCGTTCCGGCTACTCGGAAGGCGGAGGCGGAAGGATCGCCGGAGCCCGGCGGGTCGAGGCTGCGGGGCCGGGAGCGGCCGCTGCCCTCCA